CATACATACATACATACATACATACATACATACATACATACATACATTATATACAGTATACTAGTCAGTATACTATATTATATATATATCCAAAGATCGCGCGTATCACGCTGTCTCTTACCGCTTTTATATATTTCATCCAGCTCGAAGGAGCGGCGGGTCCGCTCAACTCGAACCTATGAATGCAGGATCACTGGATCACCTGCTACTGAACGTGCATCTGCGCAAAAACGATGTTTGGTCTTCTTAAAACCTATTCTCGATCCATGACTCCATGACATCCATTCATTCCAATTGGCAAAACAAACCACAACAAAAATACTTCTCCCACACTACTCACTACAACTACAACTTCTGCATCCAAAATCCTTCGCTGTGTCTGTCCCTGTCTGTCCACTTGGGCAACTCAGCTGAACCCCTTCGCCCCTTGGCATTCAGCGTCCCGAAGTTGGCGAAGAAGAAGTCGGCGCGGCGCCGCCAGCCGCTGCGGGGATCGCGCCAATAGTTCACCTCGCGTCTAGGCGCGTGGACGGCGCGGTTGTGGGCGGTGTGCGTCGCCGCGCGGTTTTTCGAGGAAGGCGCTGTTCGTCAGAACGGACGTGCGGTGCACACCTCCACATCGTGGTTTTGGTTAAAAAAAACATGGTGTTTTGGACAATGGATTGGACCATCTTTTTTGGTGTGGACACGGTTTCATGACCGGTCATGGTCCAAACCTGTCAGGAAGATTCGGTCATGGAGCCCAACACAAGCGCTTGATGGACCGGCGACATAGCCGGTACAGTATGCGGCATGCCTTTCATTTGGAATTGTATCTTCTTTTGCTTAGCCCAGTCGAGCCTAGTGATCCTTGAGTGTCCGCTTTGTCGTGCATGCTTTAGCCATTTGAGGAAGGCATCTGCAGTCCAAGAAGCCGTGCCGAAAAGAACCTCAGCGTTGGAAAGCCAACCGGTGCAGAATGACTCACCAGCGCAGAATGAATAACTTGTTCGTGCTGTGAATCCCATGGATTGGGTTCTTGATCCACTACTGGGGTTTGCATTCAAGTACTGTAAGTAGATGCAAAACACCTGAAATCCATCTGCCTTGAAATTTATGTAATGTTGTTTTTGTATGTTTTTGTCAAGCCTGCCTTGGTCTTCTATGTTATGGCTTTCTGATGCCTTCCTCGCGCATGATTTGGCATCATAGTCTCAATAAAGTGAAAGCATACCAAAGCCTGGTGTCTCCCATCTAGAAGAATGGGGACGTCCGGTTTGAAAACGTGCAAGCCCTCCTGCACCAAAATGAACAGAACAGTCTATATATATATACCTCAGGTTCCGACTCAACACCCCACGCATCTGGGTGCTCACGCATCGCTCACGTGCTGCGTAGGCACCAGGAAGCATAGGAAGCAGCACATCATCTGGCCATGTAAGGCAGCAAGGCCTGTTGGCATGCCGAAGCACGCCAAGTTCAATTGTCTATATAGTGATGCTGGGCTTGGATGTAGTTCTGAAACATCTGCGATGTGGGTGATAGGAAATGATAAGAGAGAGATCCTGACACCAAAAAGCAAGCGTGACAGAGCTTAAGTGGCAAGTGGTGAGTCTCGATGAACACTGGATCTTCTCATGCAAACAGCACCTGACTGGTCCCAGATCCATGGTGCTTCACAACAACCCCACACCTGTGGTGATCGCCACCAGCCAGGAGGAGGCGAAGACTCGGCGGCTGTAGGGCAACGGCACCACCAAGTCATCCTTGCGATGTAGGTGAAGAGAGCTTTCTCATGGGACTGGAAGTGGGGAAGGATTTGGAGGCCATTGCTAGTAGGTTGGAGGCCATCGCTTCTAGGTCTAGATCGGATTTGGGGTGGAAATAGACTCTCTACCCGGACACCAAGGCCTGGTCGAGGGGGACCAACTGACAGAGCCCATGGATCCAGGGGCCCTTGAATCCTCTGCAAATCCTCTCGTCCATGGGTCCCTTCGGGGAGGTTCACACGCGATGAGAGAGGTCTCAGATCTCATTGAACTCTAGGAGTGGGCTCCTCAGCTCCTCACTCGCAGGGTGTTGTTCTCCTGATCCTGATGATGAGGTGATTCAGAACTCCAACGAAGAGCCTGAAGAAGTGGGGCGGTCCAGAAGTCACTCCAAATGGAGCGTTTTCACTCCCAGCGTCAACATGCGTCAATCCAATGGACAAAACAGCTTCATCCGAGGCTCTTCAGGCTGAGAGCTTTGCACCACCCTCTTGGTGCGCGCGTGCCACCCAGCGAAGCTGACCTTGGAGCGCTGAGAGCTAGGCCGCTGCGGTAGAATGTGGCCGAAAGCGCTGTAGAATGCTGACCGGATACCACAGCCCAAGACAAACAGCTGAACCATGCTGGACCCATGAACGCTTGAAACCCCTTCATGGCAAAAAAAAACATGCCAAACAAGAGTTGCGCATCAACACACGAGGCGCGGCGTTGGTTCACCTGCCAGCAAAAAACTGGCCTTGCCACATGGCGGCGGCTCAAAATGGATGATTCTCCAAAGCCCATTGGAAAAAAGGAAAAAGAACATGAACCAAGAAGAGTCAGCCCGCATAGACGGTGATATCTGCAACACCCATTCACCAAGCAAGGCGCCCGCGGCGAAAACCCAACCTGAAACCTCCTCCCACTCCCTAAATGTTGATCCAAGCCGCCGGACACCGTATGTGGGTCCCTATGGCCCTATTGCTAGCACCTGCCCCATGAGGATCACAATGGTCCAAAGCACCTGCCCCTTGACTCCTGGGCATCGATGACCCCATGGCCCCACAACAAGTGGTTTGCTTTCTGTCCTTTTTCTGTCCTGTTCTAAACTCTTGATTAATACATCCCCCAAATGAAGAGGATGTTCAATTCAAACGGCTGGGGTTATTCATCAAGACCTTTTTGGCCTTCGCTCCTGACTCCAGCCTCCTCTGCACCGAAAACCGGCCCATCAACCCCCCTCTCCTTGGGTCCTGGGGCCACCGGACGGAGCGTCGTGGCCGCGCCGCAGCACGGATGTCCGGGCCTCGGGCGCAGGCGCCGCGGACCTTTTCAGATGTCCCCAGGAGAATCTCACATCCACTGAGCCACGACACCACCGTGTTGAGACCCCCTCTCACTGAGTCTTCAGGTTCACATGGCACATCTTCATGTTCTAAACCCTAAACCCTCCTGCCCTCTAAGAGCACAGGTTCCAATGGGCAACTTCTAGAAAGACTGGTTGTGGTCTTGGGAAAGGTTCAGGCTAACTTGCTGTGAAGCAAGAGCTGAAGCAAACCCCTATTGAAGCAGACCTCAAGGTTAAGCAGCTATTGGAGAAGAGTGACCCATACAGTTATGTGACCGTCCGGTTTTGACGGAGAGGTTCGATGATGACTTTAAAAGCTGTAAGCCGACGCCGACTCACGGGTTCCGGAGGCCAAGTCAGAACGAAAAAAGAACCAACTGAAATGCCGTACTGCCGTACAGCTGGTGCCTGCTACTTGAAGTTACAATGGAACATCAATCTAAATGGTTGTCCCTCTAGCAGTAGCAATCTCCAGCACATGCCGTTGATGGAAGTGTCCCTGGACACTTGGCGCTCACCCCGTGATAGCGAGCGACAAACCGAGCCTCTGTGTGCCAAGCATGGCATCCTGCGTACCCACCGAATTGCATGCCCGCAGCACGGGATAGGGATGCTCCGTTCCCAACTCTCCGTTCCCAACATAACAGCCACGAGAACATCACAGAGTTGCTGCACTGCAACATGAGACGGCTTGAAGACTTGCACTGGATGTTGAAGAACAGGACCCCCCTCTTCTGTGAGATGCCCTGATTTCAACCATGCAAAAGTCGTGTGTCCACGTCTAAGAGCAATTACCACAACCGTCCAGCTGGGTACTATACCCCTCCTTCAAGGTACAGGGCAATCGGATTGAAATCGGGTGATCCTCCAGTTGGACCGCTTGGTCCAAGACATACCCAATAGGAATGCGTAGGCCCTCAAACAGGAGACCCTGGGCGAAACGGCCTACATGGTGATGGGAGGTCAATTACAAGAAAGGTCTATGTCGCAGGAATCACTGAAACTGGGGAGTAACAGTCTTACTGTCCCTAGTTTGGACTAGACTGGTTTGGCGATGTTCACCCAGTCTTACTTGTAGACTGTTACTGAACCACCCCTGTCCTGGAGAAGCTCTGCGATCCCATCAGCCACCCGGATCTCCACGGCAGCGCTGCCATGGGGGGATCCGTGCGGAACGGCACGGGAGCCGCGCGAGGACAGCTGTGAGCCTCGCAAAGTTTCCTGAACATTTGATGGCCCACTGGCCCTGGTCAATCCGAATCCCAGGACGTGCTCCCGATGTTCCCCAACAAAAACCGGGCAGAGGGACCTCGGCACCTACCCCCGCGCGGACCGCGGGAGGAAGCACTGGGCGCCCCAAGCGAAGTCGTCGAGCCTTTGCGGGTCGCGCGGGTCGTGGGAAGGAAGGGGAAGCAGGATCTGAAGCGAGGATCCCGGTTTGCAGCAGTGAATCCCAGTGGTCAAACGAGATTTGGCACCTGAAATGAACTGCTGTGTATGATATATATATATATATACATATATTAGTAGTGTGAAGTGGGCGTCCAGATTGGTTGGGGGTAATCAAGAATCCCACCAAAAGAGGACGGTGCAGACCTGGCCCTGGCTATAGCGTGCAGTGCAAGATATTAAAGTCCTCTTTGGAAGATCTCGGCATTGGGAGTCATCTGGGTCTGAATCTGCCACAAAGCGCAGGAATCCTCGGAATGCAAGCCAAAGACCCTAGGGACATTTAGTAGAACTGCCACAGTGAGATACAGAATGCCAAAACCTTTCTCAAAACCTTCTTGATGTGTAGCTTAAAAGAATGATCAACGCAGTGGACCATGACCGCCTTGCGGCGTATCCGGTGCTCCGACCGCTCGGCTCCCTCGAGCTCCCCCACTCGCCCGAGGCAAACTCCGGCCGGAGCCTCAAGCGCGAGCGATCACCGGTGCCCTGACTCCAGCGGATGGTGCCCTCGCCCACGTGACGGGACACCGTTGGGTTTGGGGTGTTTTTGAGGTGTTCCAGGGCCACAGAAAACAGCAACTTTTGAGTGGAGTTCACATCAAAGTTCCCATCTAGACTGGTGGGTGATGATGGATCATGTACACGTTCGCTTGGCTTATGTACTCTATGCTATTCTAAAGAATAGTAAATATACAGGTTGCTGTCCCTCTCAGACTCTCCGACATTGCAGATCTGTTTAAAGTGTGCTCAAATGTTCAGTGATTTGCACTGGTCTCCACCGGACTGCGGCGATAAGTGCAGACCGCTTATCGAATGGTTTGGGGCATCTTCAGGAGAAGTCTGTGGCCCACAGAACTTTGATGAACTTTGTGCCTTTCAGAGAAGCATCCCTTTTCCAAGGCTCCCGAAAACTCCAAGAGGATTCTGGACATCGGTGGTTGGATGGGGCGGTTCCATCAGCCAACCACCCCATCAAGCATTGCACGAGCAGCTGTGCGGATCCGATCTTCCTTGCGAGGCTGCTCAGCCACCTGTCGAGGGGTAGAGCCAGGTGCGTCTGACGGGTCAAAACCGGGAACCCCAGACGCCATGTAGCTTGACCTTGAAAGCAGGTCAACCAAGATATCCAGGTGCCATGACCCACAGCCATATGGAGTGAGGGGGGAGTGGGGCCAGCCCCATCAACACGCTGGCAAGTCAGCCTGAAAGAGTTGCACAACCTCGCCCTACCACGGCTGCAGCCCCCCAAAAAACCATAGCTGCTGGTGTTGAAGGTGTGAAGCAACCTGTCCTTCTACATCCTTCTACCAAGTGCACGTTCTTTCGAAAAGACTTCAATTCTCCACAGCTCCAGGCAACTGCACCCTTTACAAACTGCAACCCGCAACGATGATTCTGTTAACCTACTGTACACTAGCTTAGCTGCTGTAGTTGTTGGAAGGTGTGATCTTCAAATAATCTCAACCAACAACATTGGCAAAGCGAAATGCATAGAAACACTAAGTGCAGTGGCGTTGAGGTTTGGAGAAACACACAGGTCAAAGCTATTCGCAAAAGGTGATGTGTGTTCGGGAATCGGAGAACAAAAGCGGCACTGGTGCTATGGCTTGAGGTTTCGCAAGTCGACACGCAATCATCTCCAATAATTCATGCACTAGCAAGCTTCAACACTGGAAGCCAAATCAGCCAAAGAAAACAAAGGATCACTATGGATGCAATAAGGCATAGACATAGACCAAGATGGTGATCCCAATCAGCAGTCAAAAGCACCGTGTTCTCCCCGTGTTCTCCCGGTGGCGCGCGCAGAGTGTAGCACCGCCTCTTGCGTGCGGGCCGGCTGGGCGCCGCCAGCATCAGCGTGCGCCGGAGGCCGGTGTCGGCCAAGTCCGGGCCCTGGGATTGGAGGATCGAAAAAACGGGTGGTGACCGGTCCACAGAACGCACGGGCGGCGGACCGGTAGACACGACACGGATACGGACCGTGCAGTGTCTTTTTGCAAGATTGCAAGTGTCTATAGACTTGCAAGGTCTAGACTTGGGCAAATAGGTAGAAGAAATGCGAATCGAGTCCAGCCAGGTGGTTGGCTTTTACGTTCTACCCGGTCATTTCAGAACCGGTGAGTGATTTGACAAGAATGTGAATGTGGCTCAGTCGGAACAATGAAAAATCTGTCTATGTCCATCTCTTCAACCAAAAGAACCGAGATTGCTTCGGCTCGAACACAGATTCTCATGAGCCCTTGTGACAGATTGAGCCCGATTGAACTCTAATATTCGAGTCACTAAATGTCCGCAAGCTCGAATTCAATGTGACCAATGAACAATATCGATCACCGATCACCATGTGTCTCAGCCAAATGAGCCCACTTCTAGGCTGCTCAGCACAAGACCTTCAAACCTCATAATACACATCGTGACCGCTGATTACTATGTTCTGCTCATCCCTCACTCCCCCGGCTCCTGCGTTCGATTCGGCTGGCGCCTGACGGTGCCTTGGCCTCCCCAGCAGCGGCACGTAGCTTAAACTGAAAGGGTACAAGCGCCGGCCCTGGCCTGGAAGGGTACAGCATCCCAAGATGGACGAGACTTGAACTCGTTCTAATTCTATTGAATCTGGATTCATACAACCACGGATGTCTTGGAACATCCTGAAATCCAACCGCGGGAGAAGTTTTGTGTTTCTGTTTGTCCATCAAGAGCCAACATTGTGGGCGCGCGAGAGCAACACAAAGATGAAGATCGAAGAAGTATGTGCTCCAGCAAGAGGACGTCAATGATTCAATTGCCACAGTCCAGCAAGCAACATAGCCCCAAAAAGCGTCTGAGACGACTCCTATAAAGCCCAAGTGAAGTGGCAAAATGCAGGTCCAATTCGAGTGCTCAGCCTCACTACCCCGTCCGGATCCCACATCGCTTCACCTCGTCACAGCCAAGCGGCTCACGATGGGATTCCAAGGCGCTACAGTGAAGGGCTGCGTCCAATCGGCATCCAGAAAGGTCTCCTTAGACCGAAGTCGAAGGGTCGGAGGCCATACGAAAACGACATCCATGGTCATCAGTGACGCTGTTCATCGCTTGTCCATCGGTTTTGTTGCGTGATAATCAGGTCGTGTTGGGACGTGTGGTGATCGGTTCGGAAGAGTCAGACCCTTGGGCCGACGCCCCTGAACAACCGCGACTCTTCAGGGAACCTCCAAGTTTGGATCGATGCACCGAACATCAATCTGACCAAACGATGTCCACTGCCCGAAGCAAATCCGGAAAAACCGACTAACTTGATGAAATCAAGGTGTCATAGTACCGACAATGCAATACTGTATATGCAAGATCATGCAAGCGGACCAAAGGGCCAACCTTTCTTGGATGCCCTGAAGACTCCATCCAGGGAGCGGAAGTTGGGCCCGAATGAAAACCTCCCCACCCCCGCCCCCCGTTCTGCGCACGGCTCCGCATCCGTTTTCTCCGCCCTCCAAAAACCGCCTCGCCACTCCGAGCGTCGGACTGCACCGGAGACCAGAAGGACACGGACCCATCGGAGTTGTGCGCGAAACGCATCCTGGGCCACTTGGCTCGGTACAGGTCAGGTCCGGGTCCCTAAGCTGCGCAGGAGGCCCCCAGCTTACGAAACCGTAGCTGTGGCTTGTTCTTGACCTATGGCCTGTGGTTCTTGAGTTTTTGAGGAGTTGCTGCCTAACCCGTTCAAAGTTCTGGCAGCTGTGGGACTGCAATTCTATTTTGCCTCCAAAGAGACATCGATCATTAACTTTGCCCACGACAGGTCGTCTCAACCTACATCACCAAGGGCCTTGAACTACTGGGTGCACGACCCCCGGTAGGCCGTGGCGTTTCGTGAGGACTGTCTGATTGAACATGCGCACGGCGCTGTAGCGCCACTATCATTTGCAAAGATGCAACTGCAAATTCCACGTTTTGCGAAATCACAAAACTACTTTATTTTGCACTCACCGGCTCTGCTTAGCGACTTTGCACAGCTCGTTCTTTATGTTGGCCCCACCGACGTCATTATATTGGCCGACGATGTAGACCGACGTCATTATGTTGGCCCCACCCCCCCACGCCCCACCCCCCACCCCAACAATTTGCAGCTCTGACCGTCAGCAACTGTCCATGTCGTACGTGTTGTTGTTGCAAGCATCATGTTATGTGCAGTCTGAGATATGTTTCAGATGCGATGAGCTGGCCTCATGTTATGTGCAGTCTGAGATATGTTTTATTATTGTGCAATGCATGCAGTCTGAGATATGTTTTATTGTTGCGCAATGCATGCAGTCTGAGAATATGTTTTTTTGTTGCGCAATGCAAAGAAGACCTGGAGCTGGGATGCAAAAAAGCGGCGAAAAAGAAAAATCGCAAGAAAAACACACGGCCTACCGGCCCTAGCGTCCTGACAACTCAGCAGTCAGCATGCTGCACTATTAGCACGAACCGAAAGGTATGTGAAAGGCCTCTTGCTTTCGATATATTGAAAGCAGTCTTCTAAGCGGTGGTCAAGTGGCTGCAGGTTTTTAACCTAATCTGCACCATCCAAACGGTCGAATTCAGTTCCCTTTTACCCTTCAAAAGGATCGAATCAAGTTGGGGCCGCCAACCGCCACAGCAGTCGCGGTTCTACTGCGACTGCGCTTCGTTCCAGGGGTCTCACCGCTCTGAACCCAGTCCCAGTGGCGGAAGCCATTCGGCCTCACTCTCGGGGTCCTTGATTCCTGCGGCTCGGGGCATGGTGCGACCCGTTTCCGAGGAATGCACTGGGAGAACGTCATGGGAGGAAGTCATGGGGGGGGATGGTCATGCAGACCTTCATGGTCCAGGTCGTTCATGAGATGACTTGGCTAAGAATCCGATCCTTTTCCATGTCCGACAAGCAAACGCCTCTAAAACCTGGGGTTTTCAGCTGTCTGTCCACCTCGAGCCACATAGAGGCAGCTTTCCACCAAGCGTGAGAAGCCCAGCAGCGGCGCTGAAGCACTCGTGTGCATGGCAGAAGTTCACCGCCACGTAGCGGTGGAACGTGTAACGTGCGCCTTAAGACCCTAGCTAGCATTGAATGGCACGTTGCTCGTAGAAAAACATGTTGAAACAGCATGCTTCGCGCATTCCCTAAGTTTTGTTTGGAAGGATTTGCTGAGACCTGACCGGCTGAATCTTCACCTCTTGGCTGAAGAAAGGTACATGGATGTCCATCACATCATCCTGGTACTCCAAGGTCATCCAAACACCCACAAACACCATCAAGATTGATCCACTCAATGTCAGTACCGTTGGTTGATACAACTTGCATTTGTCCTAATCTGATGTTATTGTTTGCATCAAAGTTGAATTAGTTGATCAGCTGCGACAGCGATTCCAAAGCATCCAACTTCCTTCACACTCGGCTTCCACTCGAAGTACGTAGCATATTAGCACGAGGCTTCAGGATGTTCCGATGACAGGGCAACTGGGAGAGTCCAATTAAATGTCGTCCAAGAATCACCTCGCACGTTTTCCGTCAGCTGCTTTGTGTTCGTTCGCTCGGGTCTTTGTTCTCGCCGATGGTCAAGGGCCTCACTGCGGGCTGCCAACGCCAACAGCCCCATACAAGTACTGCTCTGGGGAGGGGTGCATTTCGTGATCAAAGAAATATATATATATATATACAGCAGTTCTTTTGACACAATGATTGATGCGCATCGTTGCATCACCTACGAGTCTATGCCCTGAGTTCTTTGCTTTGATACGCCGTCCAAGTTTTGGTCGAAGATCCATCAAAGCACTCGACTAGTGACTAGTAAGAGTCCCTTTTACTGTCAGGGGCAGAAAAGAATGTGTCTGCAAGTGGCCGAACACCCCACCAGAGCTCCCACCAAAGCAAGACTCCTCCACGTTAAACCAGCTAGCTGCCACCTCTTCAGTTCCATCCTTCTCTCCAGGGCCATCGCTGTCGAACCGGAGGCCCTGGCAGCACTTCTACGAAGCAATAGACCTCGCACAGGCCGAGCCGTCCGCGCACCACGAGCAACAACGGGCACCACGACGGCCGTGGGTGGAGGGGGGTCCAACGTTGAGGGGTTCCATGGCCGGAACCAGTCGGAACGGTGGAACCGGACGCGGCGTCCGCAGTGAGGGTGTTTTGGGTCCAAAACAAAAGCACGAAAGCCTGGAAAGGCAAGCGCTCCACGACAAAAGCCTCTCCGCGACGTTTGGTTTTTTTATCCTAGAGTCTTCCGTTCCTTTTTGAGGCGGGTTCATGGTGTGTCCAAGTCTTACTGTACCAGGTCACTGCTTATTATGTTCATCCACGTGGCGGAGGGTGGCCACACGACCAGACGGTCTCTTGGTTGATGCTGACACCCATCCCAGCAACTGATCGAATGGATTCCAAGTGCAGCTCGTGACCATTATTGGGGGCAGGAGCTCAGAGAAAAACGAAAGTCAGAGTATGTCAGAGTGCTAGAATGAAACACAGTCTCCACATCAAAACGCACCATTCATCTTGCAAAGGTGTGATTGGGGGGTTCCCCCCCTCCCATCTGCTCCAGCCAGATTTTCTGGCAAACCATGCACCACTGCCAGTCACTGCCACCACGTCACCTGTTCCACCGCCGCCGTTGACATCACCTCTCAAAAACTGTTTTCGCGGCAGACTCCGCTCCAACCTCTTTGACTGGGACTTGTGAACAAAGTCTGGTGCTCAACCACCCCTCTTGATCTCTTCCTACGTTCTTCCTTCTGATTCTCTTGTGCCCCAAACTTGTTGACACATGCAATACGAGCTCGGTACATCACAATAGTAGCAAACTCGGTGCGGTCCAAAGGTATGTCTCTCTGCCTTGCGCTGTATATTAACATCCCTACGACCAGGTCGCCGAGTCACCGAAGACCGCGCAACCCGAGACCAGCCAGTGAGTTCCCGCACCTCCGCGCGGCGGAGCTCTTCGGGCCAAGTGCCCCAGAAGCTCAGGTCCACCTGCAGCAGTCTTGGATCGGACGGAGGAAGCCGTGCGTGTCTTCCCCACCGAATTGGTCGAGACAGGACAGAAGGCATCATCCAAAAGGAAGAACAGTGGAGCCCTGAACAGCACACTGCCCAAACTTGGCAGTTATTTACTGTATGTGTATATACAGAGAGACAGAGAGAGAGAGAGAGAGAGAGAGATCCATATATACACATATATATTTTATACATCGTATACTGTATATTTACATATAAACATACACTCAGCTCAGTCGTCAAACAGTCAGCAAGTCTGCGCAGGGAGCTGTGGTACCTTAGCTCTGTCGGGCATCAGAAGCACTCTTCCGATTTACGTTGGTAAGTACACCTAGACCCACTAGGAGGTGAACTCCATACACCGGCAGTGAAGAGAACTCTCAACACCCACTACTCAACCGGAAGATAGAACAGTAACAAACTGAATCTATCCCCTGACTTGTCCCACCTGGCCCCGAACACGGGGCGAAGACCTGGCGGGCATCACCCGTAACTAGCTCCTCTGCGTCCCTTTCCCGGCGAGTACCCCCAACATCAAAGGAAAGGAACATCAAACTGGTTCAGGGGTTGGGAGGGTGGGAAAAAAGAACATTCACCTGAAGCCTTTTTGGGTCACTTGAGCATGAGCGGCAGCGGTGCATAGACATGCCAGCATGGAACATGCTCAAGCTCAGAACAACTGACATGAATGATTAGAAAGGACTGAGTCTCAGAGTTCAAGGTTGAACCTTTACAGTTCAGTCTTTTTATATACAGTACCTGTCCATTTTCAGGTTAACTCCAGAGTTCAGTCATTTGTTGTATTAACTCTGAAGAATATCCAGGGATGCGATTGTTTTACTCAGTTTGCTCTTGAGAGTTTATTCTGTTTTCCTTGCCACATCTACTACGTATAAACTCTAGAGTTCAGCCTTTTTGCCGTGAAGATTTGCTGGGCATTATCTCACAAGTTTGTTGTTTTGCTCTTCCAGTTTTGGCTATCAAAGTTGTCGGTGCTTAGCTTTACTTATGGCGGCCGTTGGCATCGCATGGCGGCTAGGGCTGCTCGTCGGGTGTGCCTCTGGTGTCTTGCTTTTCAGACGAGTGACGAGGAGCTGTCCGGGTCACGAAATCAGTTTTCACCTATCAGTTGAAGAACCAGCGGCCGTCGATGAAGTCTCGAAAGTCTTTGCAATACTCAGTCGATTGCCTCGGTGCTTTGCGCAAATTTGCAGAGAGCCCTCCAGAAGGAATCGTCGTGCAGAGGGACTATGTCACCTTGACAAAGGAGCAGGTGAGGTTGCCTTTTGAGTGCTCGTCCATTGATGCTTTCTTGAGCAAGTGTACTTTGAGCAGTTTTCTGTTGGATTTTACCTTCAAGACAAATTGTGAGTCTTTGCTGATTGGATCGGTGGGACCGGCTGGGCTGCATGTCACGATGAAGCCTTGTTTGTGGTCGAACCACCTTCTCAAAATAATGCAGAGGCTTGGGGCCCTCCAGTATGGATATGTTTTCTCGGATTCAACCACTACGAGGCGACGCTCGCGATCACTTCGCGACGCCAAGCAAGTGTTCCTCCTTTAGTCTCTGTGAAGACAGAGACTGGTTGAGGATATAATAGTTGTTCTGCTTGAGGAAAAACTCCGGAGTTCAGTCTCTTGCAGGGGTTGAAGACTGATCTACAAAGTTCTGTCTTGGTTGTACATGAGAGTGCTAAACCACAGGGGTTCCTCGAGAGTTCAGACCTGGGCTGGACTCGTTTTTGGAAAGGAATTAACTCCAGAGTTCAGTCTTTTGAACTCTGAGTATCAGACGCTTCCAGAATGATTCAGTGTCCACCACACCTGCCCTAGAAGCACAAGACACTGCAGGTTATATCGTCTTTTGACCGGCTTTGGATCGGTTCCTCCTGTTTTGAATGCAAGCTAGCTGAACATGAATGTTCAATCAGTTCGTCTTAAACCCTTTTGACCACTATGAAGTCGCGTGAAATGCACACTCGGATTGGTCGATTGCGCATGGGTCATCGCCCAACGTCCTGGAAGACTCCTGGAAGACTGCTTCATTGGACTCCACACCCAGCTCAAACGCTCCGAAGCGACAAGTAGCTCTGGTCCGCCTGTGCTTTCGGGCCGCTTTCGTGCTGGTGTTCTGCCTGAAAAAGAACGCGCGCAAGAATTGGGCGATGCAAGGGTGAAGGTGCACGCTACGACATGTCAAGGTCATAGCCAAATATCAGGCTGTGTATTGGAACAGGGAAACCCCAGAAGCAAGTAAACCCATTGGTCGGGCGGTCTTCCTAGTAAAAACATGTAAAAGCATTGTAACACAAAAGCCCATCATGAACCCATCATCATCAGGTCATTCTGCATGTTCCATCAGGGTATCGGAGCCTTGCCATTCGGAGATGGACGTCGCACCCCTGTTGTTTAACCCCCCCGGGGACTCTGCGGATGACCGGCCGCTGTGGTTCTTCGTCGTCACAAGGTCTGCAATTCCCTTGGGAAACACCTAGTGATCATGCCGATACTCTACTACTCCCCTAGCGTCCCCTAGACTTCCGAGATCAAAAAAAGATTGACCTGGAGTTTTGTAAAATCCTCTTATAGTTGGTTCGGCAAAGCCAATTAAATTCACACAAATTCATGGTGGTTTCGAAGCCTAGGGACTCTGTACACACTCGACTCATTGGGCCCCGAACTATTCCCGCTTTGCAGCCACTTGCCTCGTGGTGAACGGTCAGCTCCTGTCTTTGGCCTGCCGGACAAAGGACTAACGCCAACCCATGGCCCATCGCCGCCTCCCCCCACCACCGGTCGCCGCCGTCGGGGGAAGCGACGGAGGACGGAAGGACTCTTAAGAGCCGACTCGCCTGCCATTTCGTAGCACAGGCGAGGAAGCACAATGACCTCTTCCGCACCAACACCTTGCAGCTTGGCGCTGATAGGCTAAGGTCTTCATTCCTTGAGCTTCCGAATTCTAAAAAGTTGGAAGGTTGCCACACATTGTCACTGTCACACATAGGAACACGCACACATTCTTCGAGATCCCGACTCTGTTAACCTTGGAGCTTCCGCAGCTTACCTCACACATGTTCTCCCAGTTTCTGAGTACCACACCATGGCCCTGGATCTTCAGATTCCACCAGCTTGGTGGTTCAGCCAGGTCCCTCCAGCAGCGCCACACGTGGCGCGCGCAGTGCGCGAGCTGGGACAGTTCGACTGCAGGATGTATGAGAGGGCGGATGTCCAGGTCTGCCTCCATGAGAATTTTGCCCAATTTGGAACCCCAAAAATATCCAAACACGAGTATGGATTCCACGACTAAATTCAGAAGGGATTCCCCAGAAAGGTCTTGAACACCGTGTTTGGGGCTCGGAGGACCTCTTTGCAATTTAGAGCAGCACAGGCCTGGAGCACACCGCGGAGTGGGGTTCGATGTTCTCTCCTGCGGGGAGGTGAAGCAGCAAGGGTCCCGCAATGTACAAGTACCAAGAGCTTTGCCCAAAAAGGGCACCTCAAAAAACCACTGACGCACTGACATCAAAGTCAAGCCACCTGAGATTCCAACGGCGCTCAACAGCTAGATCAGATCTTGAAATTTATTCCACCGTAGACCCCAAACAGGTGGGACAACAACGAAGCATTCCCAAGTCCACTTTTAGAGACATCAACAAGAAGGGAGACAAAAGGAAACAGAAGGGAGACAAGACGGACACAAAGTCAAACAAGAAGGAACAGAAGGAAGACAGAATTGAGACAAGGCGGACACAATGACCAACAAGAAGGGAGACAAGAAAACCAG